CCCGCCTCCCTCCTTCGCGGACTGTCTCCCGACTCGCCGGCAGAGAGCCCTTTTTGACTGCAAGCAGCGGCAGCCGAGCTGAGGCGGCGGCGCGGGACCTGCAGTCGCCCGGGATTCCCTCCAGGTGACGATGCTCTGGTTCTCCGGCGTCAGGGCTCTGGCTGAGCGTCCCTGCCGGCGCTCGCCCGGGATTACCTGCTGCGTCTTGCTGCTGCTCAATTGCTCGGGGGTCCCCATGTCTCTGGCTTCCTCCTTCTTGACAGGTAGGGGAGGGGGCGGGAGGGATCGGCCCTCCCGGAGGCTGGCTTGGTACCAGGGAGTGGAGGCGCAGACTACCCGGGGGGTGGGAGGGTAAGAGCGGGCACCTAGGCGCTTGCCGCAGGCTGGCCCCTGGGGATGAAGCGGAGCCGGGGAGTGAAGGGATGGGGAGCAGTGAGGAGGCTTATAGGCGGGGGACTGAGGCTGTTGACATCAGTGTAGTGCTCCTAGAAATCACTGTGAATTTGAGAAGGGAATTTCTTGTTTTTGGATGTTTACCTCCACCTCATGTTAATCTCTCCTTCCTATAAAATTAAAGAAAGAAATACTTGCACCAGTTTCCGAGTATCCTCTTTTCTCACTCTATAGCCTTCCAATATATGTTCTGTACTAGGAGTACTTTTTAAAGTTCCCGCTTTCCGTACCTTGAATTTGAGGAAACTATAATATTTAAAAGGGTAATAATAGCAGGATATAATAATTATATGTTTTCAGGCAGGTGAAGACCTCAGCTGCAATGCTGAAGGACATACTTTACTGACACCTGGTGCAGAAAAGAAAATATTGAGTAAATTTCTAAGAGAAGAGGAAAGAGGATTGTGTTTCAGAAAGTGATTTTAGCCTAAGACAATCTGAGGGAGAGACCTATAAAGACTTGAGATTTGTTTAAATTTAAAATCTACCCAAGTGACCAATGAATTTTTTTTTTTTATATGGGGGGTATGGGCTTAGTTGAAATGCCTTCATAAAGGAGATGTAGAATTAAAGATCCAGTGAAAATTGAAATTGTGCTTAAACCATCTGATAACAGAAAAATCTATATGTTAGTTTTTTTTTTTTTTTTTTTTTTAAGCCTGCTCACATACATTCTCAGACTTTCAGTGGGGAATTTGTTTTGGTGAATTTGACCATTTAGAACTAAGAATTTCTCAAATGTGGGTGATTTAAAAAATGATTAATGTAAAATAATTTGTGTGTGTGTGTGTGTGTGTGATAATGCTAAGCTTAAGTTATTTTCCCCCCTTCTCTTCAGGTTCTGTTGCAAAATGTGAAAATGAAGGTGAGGTTCTCCAGATCCCATTTATCACGGACAACCCTTGTATAATGTGTGTCTGCTTGGTAAGTATGGAGAGCAGGTAATGTGAAGGCAGTTGTTTCCTCTGACAAGATGAATCCATTAAATGCAGTGATAGAACCAGATCTTGAAAGCTGCCTTTACAGTCATTACAAAACTGCATGATGTGGTTGAATTGAATGCAACTGAATTTCTGAGTTTTACGGGTTTTGATAATTTCCATTTAATCAGACTGGACATTTTTATAGTTGACATCATTCTTTGAGAAGTAAACCTAAGATGGACTTTGTATGGCTTTGTTTCAGTGATAATTCTTACTTGCATTGTCTGTTTCCAGGATGACTATTGCCACCAAACTATCTGCCTTGATTCTGTCTTCTGAATACAGTGGGAAAATGAGATCATTTAATTATAAATGTCAGGGATAAGGTGACAAAGAGAAAGAGAATTGAGTCGTAAAGGATAAACATGAAGACTTGATGTAATCTTGGATTCTTTTGCCTGTTATACCCTGAACACTCAAAAATATTATTTCCTTTTTGGAGGCATAAACCAGAAAGGACACATTCTTATGAGAGAATAGCACTTGGCTATCAGTTGCTTTAATTAGCATTAGTAGTAGCCAGTAGAGTCAAAGAAATAATTTTAACACCATTGTTAATGACAAAGCCTAACAAGTAACCACATAGAGAAAATAAAAGAATTAGAATTTTAGGGATGAAATACAGGCTCACAAAGACTGCTATTACTACATAAGTGTTTTACATGTCAGTCACTTTGGTCAGATCTTGATGACAAACTACACATCACAAAACCCTGTTGGAAATACCTCAAGACAGTCAAATGCAAAGTCCAAAGATGATAGATGACCGTTTGTTACCTGATCAACATGCTGCATGGAACTGGAGAAGGGTTTCTTCTCTGTTTAGGTGAAAGCCAAGCCATCTGGGTTTAAAATACCCAAACTTTTTTCCTGACAGAGATGAGGTCAGTGTTGTATGTAGAATGATAAATGAGTGAAGGTAGATGCCTGTATCAAATGATTATCATATTCTGAAGATGAAGGCAATCAACAAAACCAAACGTAAAAATGCATTGTTTTCTGAGGTGATGGATATTGCTGCCCTATTGAAAGAGAGCTAAGAGAAAGAGGCTCTTGAGATTTTGTGTTTATGAGTTGTCATGTTAATTAATGATCTTTCACTAAAGAACTTGTTGAAAAAAGTTTGGTTTTTTTTGATACAGGTAATTTACTTTTCTATTTCTCTTCTCTAGTTTCCTTCTCTGAATTATGTGAAGTTATGTCTAAATTCATGTATCAGACAGACATGAGGGTGGGGTTTGGTTTTATATTCTTGCATTATATTTTTATCCACTTAACTTGGCTTCATTTAGAAAATGTTAAATTTTTGAAAATTGAAGTATTATGGCATTATAGCTCACATAAATTTCAAGTGTGCATCATTGAAAATCAACTGTATACATACTTCATTAAGTTCAGCTCCAAAAGTTCAATTCTATCTTTCACCAGTTTTGACTTTAAAGCTTGACTACGTTCTCAGTTGTTTATTTACATGTGCAATGGTATATGTGTGTGTGTGTGTGTGTGTGTGTGTGAGTGTGTGAATGTGGGATCTTTCTTTTTCATTTCTTTTATCTGTTTAAAACTCAGATTTTATCTGTAAGTGAGTTAGTTTATCTTATTCTCTTTTTGGAAGAAATTGCCCTGTCCAAGGAACGTTTAAATGTGCTCAGAGTGACATATGTGAAAATATTGTTTCATTCCTCGGCAATATGACTATTTATAAAGCTTAGATATACACTTTGGGTTTTGCCAGCCGTTTCCAAATAACATTAGGCAAACTTCTCCATACAGCATTCTCCCTTTTCAGTACTGTGCTCTGGTGGAAAGTAGTGCTTTTCACTTAAAGTGCAGGCTTAACTGATAATAAGATAAATGCTAGATCTGCTGTCTTGAAAATAAGAAGGAGTCTGAAGAGAGAAAGATGCATCAGTTGGAATTCAAATGGGAATAGGGATAGTATTCAAATGGGAATAGTATTCATTTCAGAAAAGTATTGATTAAGCTTAGAAGGCTATTAGGTTTCATTTCTGTCTTTTAACAGTGGAAATATCATGACTAAGATATGATATAAGTCTTGACAAGACTAAGATATAAATCTTGACTAAACTGTCAGAAATTCTTTGTAAAGGGGTGAAGTTGGGACTCTGGCATGTGACTCACATGTTATTTAGAAACTGACCTATATCACTGATGGGTATCTGTGAGCCTTCTAGCGCTCACTAGCAAAAAGGCTCATTATGTGTTATCATGACTTTTGCTGGGGTTTAAGATTTTTGGTCCCAAGTTGTCACGTTATTGCTTCCCCAACACTTGTAATAATTTGAGAAGTTTGACAAAGAATGGACTATTATTTTTGTTTGTTTATTGTTTTATAAGTTTGTGAGACCCATTACAGGATGTGCATTGGGAGCACCCCCACATTGCCAAGAGGCCGCAGGCAGGTTTTTGCTTAGACATATTAGCGGGAAGATAGTGTTAGCCATAGCAAGTAACTTTTATGAAACACTTTATTTGCTGGCACATATCTAAACCTGCATTATTTTTTCTATTTCTTGGAACCTGTTGAAGGCTTTTACCCTTATTTTACAGATGAACAAACTGAGGCTAGAAGAGTTAAATGGTGGGAAGAAGGCCAGCTGAGCTGGACCTCACTCTCACTTTCATCTGTCTCTTGAATAGATGCCTACAATCAAGTGGGGCAGGCTATTTACTTAGTTAAAGATGTGAGAAAGCAAGGAGAAAATAGAAAGGTTGTGGAGTTATTTTACTATTGGGCGTTTGCTTGAGTTATTTTGTTTTTTTCCTTTGAGTCTTGCAGGAGTTTGTTAACTAAGGTTTGTTAATCACATTATATGGAAGGAAAATCTCGTTACAATTTCAGTTGACCTGAAGGGAGCTTGAGTTGTGAGCTAGTTTTATGTATGTACATTTAGAGAGCATGTAATAGGCAAAACTGCACTCTGGATAAAGAAAATAGTCATATTTAGTTTGCTTTGGTCTAACCTTTTGGCAGAAAGTTACCTAAAGCTGAGTATAAGCACATATCTTATTTCATAACATGTACTAAAAAAAAGAGCTAACCTCAACGTATGCTAAAAAGATGTAAATGTTACAGTTGGGAGGAAATAGGTGGCACAAAGTCCAGTATATAATTACAGCGTAAAAGCTTGAAAAACCCCACAAAATCAACTTGGCCTGAATTAAACTTTTAGGCTCTGAAACGTTTCAAAGGTGGAATGAGCTCATTTCTGTGGGAATTTTGAGGATGACAGAGGGGGCAGTGGCCACGGCAAGCAGAACTGAATAATTTTATTCTCATTTATCCTCGTCGCATAGACCCGAGCATCTTGCCAGATTCAGCTGTGGTCCAAGAATAACCTGTTTGCCGGCGGTGATGGATGTCGTTTAAAAGCGTGTGGGGCAAAAGCTTCCGTTCATCTATTTAAGGGGGAAGGTGACAGAGTGGACTATTGCGCTGACATCTGGGCAATGGGGGTAGGCAGTTTAGGTTCAAGGCTATGGTGCTCCATTGTTTAGTAGACAGCAATGCGTGGCTTTCTCCTCCTTTACTAAATGATCTCTTTCAGCTTGAGGAACAAGACCCCAACTTATTGCTGTTTTGGGTAATTTTCAACTCACTCCCCTTGCTAGAATTATTTTTTTTTTCCCATAATGCCTGGAAAAACACATTGGTGTCTTCCCTGAAGTCAGCCACATTCAGATAATAAATCGGAAGCAATTTTCTGGATCTCTTGGGCATCCAGGAATCTACCACATATACCTGAGAAGTGGATCTGCACCTTCTTCTCCCAACTCCACCTAACCGTAGCATGGAGGAAATGGCACAGGCCAATGAATTCGGCACAGTACAGGAAACCTGAGAAAACTTTGGGGGCCGGCACTCAGAAAACCAGAAGTCAGTCAGAGCTTAGTTTGGCATACATTTTGTTCAGCAAAAAACATTATTCTGAGGTTTAAATTTCCTCTTTTAAATCCAGAGGTGCAATGGCGAAATGGACCCTCTGCTCATAAAAAGCAACGTGAAATTTGGTGTTACAAGAAGTAGGGCTCCACCTATTTTTGGAGCCGACCAAGTGGTGAAAACAGAGCAGACTTTGTCTACTGTCTTCCACATTTTAATCAGAAAAATCCTCTGTCACTAAATACGTAGCTACCAGCATCTTTGATGCTCTTGGGTAATTTATCTCTATAAAATCCTTACGTTTTTTTCTTGTTCAAATTAACTGGTTAGAGGATAGTTTTGTATTATCTGGACAAGTGTTAGGCACGTGTTTGAGAATGAGGGAGGTAATGTTGTGTCAGGATTCAGTTTTGTGTGTGTGTATGTGTGTACATGTGTATATGTAGTGGTAAAGACATGGAGAGAAAAGTGAGGGAGAGGAAGAGAGGAGGTGTACAGTAATCCAGATGTGTTCAAAGAAATACTGCACTGAGTATAATACGTGTATCTCTATCGATGAGTGGCTATAATTAAGAAAAATTGGTTCATATCATTTCAGACTTTGCTTACTAAGGACATGATTAAGAGGATCTATTTATTTTGCTTGCTTGTTTTTTCTGTTTTGAAGGTTCTCCCACAGAACAATGTTTTGAAGGTGACATAACCTGTTGCCTTCCCGTAGAAAAATGTATTCAGAATGGTTTTAAGAGAAGGTAACTGATTTATGGCATATGCTGGCAAATTCATCAATACCAGCTCCGACGCAGCTATTTTTAGCCTTGCTTTATTGAGGATCACTCTTTTGGGGGCAGTTAGAGTGATGTTTGTTTAATAGCACAAATCATGTTTGTAATCTAGCGAAGCCTTGCAAAGGAAGGCTTTCACATCATTTTGGTAAATTTAACTCTGGCTTCAGACAGATCTGGTTCAAATCTTGATTTTGTCATTTACTGGTGATAAACTCAGGGATGTTTCCTCAGTTTCCTTATCTGAAGAGT